ACAGGAGCCTGTCCACCATCATCTTTGACGGGCCAAAGTTATCTGGCACCCGACCTCAATGCGAGGTGGAAGCCAGGTCACCAAAGGCCTCTCGCTCCCCCCGGGGTGAGTCCACCTCGGAAGGACCGCGGACCGCATCTTGACCCGAAGTAACATCCTCGGCAGGACGAAGACCGGCCTGAGCCGAGGTACCTACCTCGTCTCTAGCGGATTCACTTCTCCCATCTATAAGACTATTGAAACTAAAGCTAGACATGGAAAGACACGAAATCGAAAAGGAAAGCTAGGGAAGACTCACCAAAGAGAGACCAAACTGGAGAAAGGAAGATGACCTCGAGAAGACACCGAACTGAAGGGCTCGAGCGCGACCTCAGAATGCGAATTATCAGACTTGTGGCAAAGAAAATGAGTCCCTAACCCCCAATTTATAGCCGTTGTGTCCGAGAATCAACGGTTGAGATCGTAGTGATCCAACGACTCCTAGGAAAATCGGTTGCGTGACCCCCGAGGTTGAAATCGGTTTAGCGCATGTTTTGACGTCCGCGGAGTTTATAGATGGCGTGACGTCCGTGCATAGACTAGACGCGACCTGGGTTATTCCTGGTTGAGTCGGGCGGCCGAACAGGTCCGACCAACGATTCGCCCAACAAGCCGCCTGGACCTCGTGCCAAATCCACCTGGACTCGTCATGAACTCCCCGCACCGAGTCAAGACCCCTAGCTTGGGGAGTGGGGGGCAATTGATGAAGGGTGATTTGGCCCGACCTAACGAAAAGGGGACACGTGGACACGACCTGACCAAGAGATGACAGCTCAACCTAACATGCCTAGTTCGCAACATTTGAGATCAAGTATTCAGTCACCTCGGCATAAGGCTCACCTCGGTATAAGGTTCACTTCGACATCAAGGCACCTCGATATCCAATCCAGTTCAGAACTAAAAGACCGAAGTACCAGCTCGGGACCAACAACTCGAATCGCCATGTAATTGATTCCTCCGTAACCAACCCCAGAGGTCTTTCCAACGGATCCCGTCTCTCTCGAGATCACGATGAGCTAACATATCCCAACTTTTCCGAGATCACGATGAGGACTCATCCCGACTCCCCCGGAATCGGAAGTGGAACGATAAGCCTTACCTGTATACTGCTCCTTCGGAAGCGAAATGAATTCTATCTCCACACCCCGGATATTCTGGAGCTCTTTCGTGAGCTCCACGACTACGCCAGTATATAAAGGCACCAACCCCAAGGGTACAAGGTATGCGTGAATTTCTACTCTCTAGCTCTCTAAGCTCTCCATTCAGCTCGCATCAGATTACTGACTTAAGAATCGGAGTGACCTCGCCGGGTTAGCCACCCCGGGTTCTCTGATCCTGTATTGTAGATTCACTTAGCTCGCCGTCCGACTGGAAGCCAGATCATCCTCTAGCAGGGAATAGTCAGATTGCGCAACATCAATTGGTCTCTCTACCAAAATCCAATTTTATTTAGCCAAGTGGCACCACTATCCCCCAATTTCACTTAAATTATCTATAATTCCTATTTATCTCTTGAGTTATCTTTAATTTAGTAATTTAATTCCTATTTATCCTCCCCCACTTTTCATTTATATCTATCTAATGAAACATTGAATTAAAAATTTAAGGATTATTTAAATATTATAACAAAATTATGTAATAACTTTAAAATATTTACTAAAAATACAAAAAAATAATTATAACATAATTAATAATATTATTAATTTTATATTTAAAATAGATAAATAATTATATGACAAAATATTTAATATTATGTAATAATTTTAAATAACAAATTTTTTTAACTAGTTACATATTATTTAAATATTTAAATAATGAAATATTTAACATAACTAGATTTTAAATAGTTAAAATAAGAAGTTATGTAATAATAGTATAACTTTTAATTTTATGTATTACGAAATTCAATAAATTAGTATAGTTTAAATAACTACATAATGATATTATTTAAATAATTAAATAATATTATAAATAACTATTTTTTAAAATAGTTTAAAAAACAAATAAAATATATTAAATAACGAAATTATGCAATAACCTTGAAAAATGCATATAAAAGACAAAAATAATTATAATAGATTTTATAATATTTGATAATAAGAATATAAAATATTAATAATTTTAAATTTTAAAACATTATTGAAATAATGGAAGTAGATTAAATAATTTAGAGGTATTGAAGCTTTCAAATAACAAAAACAGGTAATAACTTTCTTAAAAAAATAAATAGATATTAAAAAATAGAATAATAATTGCAATTATTGATGTGCTAATAACAAAAATAGTATTTCAATTACATCAATTAATAGTTCTAAAAAATAACTTTCAAAAAATATATATTTATTAATAATAATTTTAAATTCTTAATTTATATTTATTATATATTTATAAATACTAAATTTTATATTTGTTGTATACTTAGTAAATTTTTATTGTATTTTTGTGATAAATATGTTTTCAATAATTATGTATAAGTCTACTTTTGTTTTGTTATTTAATATAAATTTTCTAATAATTATTGGAGATTAAACTATTTTTATTTGTTAGATATTAGACTATTAGTTTAAATGAACTTATGAGTGTTCATGGATTGATTCATTTTAGTTGTAGGTTGTTTGACCAACCAAATTGACCTAGTTAGGGAGTTAGTCATCCAAAACCAACCGACCATTAGTGAAAACCAGCCAATTCGAGTTATATCAATTTGGTTGGTTGGTTCAAAAGATTTAAACTTAAAAATTAAATTGAAAAAATATAGTGGTGTTATTAAAAAATAAATTAAAAAAATTAAACTTACAATATAAAAATATTTTAGACTATGAAATATGGGAATTTCCCATATTCATATATTAAAAAAATAATAATATATATATATATATATATATATGGTCGAGTTGGTTTGGTTTTGGTCGAAATGACCAAAATGAATTTGAGCCGACATGGTCAGATTGGAAAATTGTTGAACCGAAACCTACCAAAAATACTAAAAAATCGACCAACTCGGGTCAAGTTGGGTTAGGTTGGTTAGTTTGGTCGGTTTCATCGATTTGATAAACAACTCTACTTGAAATTAATTATTGTTATTTTTTGTATTGTAAAAAATATTAAAAGTATTAGATAAAATATAACTAATTATTAATTATTTAAAATATTAAAATATAAAATAATTATCTACTCTTATGTGCTTCTGTTATTTAGCTTTTGCTTAACAAAGCATAGGTCTCCGCTAGTAATATAATTAAAATTATTGGAAAAGAAGCATGCCCCCAATTTGTATAGAGCCAATCCTAGCTTACACACATAAAACCTTTTTTCCATTGCTTCTTATCAAATTTATATTAAATCCCATACATTACATGAGTCGAATTCACTATTTCATATGTCACCCAAAAAGTTAGAAAAATTAGTAGCACCCCCACGAACTTTGATTATGGATGGCCAATTTTCTCTTCCATTCAATACTTAACTTCCTTGACCCCATCGAGTTGGGGATGAAGATTGCCTTGGCAATGACAGGATCGATAATGATACTCAACCAAGGACGAGGGATGGGGAGTGAATTCCCCCTACACTGTCTCAATTATAGGTACACACATATAATATTATTTATATAAAAGCATATTTAAAATATTTTGTATTTAAAAAACCCCCTTATTCAAGAAAATATATATTAAAAAATACTTTTTTATTGTAAAATTTTGGACATTCAGGTCCCTGATGAGAGTCCGTCTCCATTGAGGATTAGGGATGGAGGGTCATTTTTATCCCAAACAGGGATCAATATCAAAGATAGGGATTTGTTTCAAAGTTAGGGGGTCTAAGATGGGGAATATGGTGTCTCCCCCAATGCCATTCCTAAATTCGATGAATACAATCCATTTGGTTACCACTTTTATGATACTGGTTAATACATGAATTAGGGGTAATCGAACTGTGGGGCTCATTTTGTAGCCAAACCAGTAGTATTGATAACCAAAACCGAACCGAAACCTATCGATTAATCGCCGGTTCAGTTCGTCGATTTTTCGGTTTTTTAATTTTTACAATATTTATTATAAATATATATAAAAGATTATATTTTAAATAATAATTAATATATCATATATTATAAATATATATTTATATATGTTATGCATATTTATTAAATTATAATATATAAAAAATATAAAAATATAAAATATATAGAAATAAATGTATACTAGTCAGTTCGGTTAACCGCCGATTTTTGTATTGGTTATTTGAAACTGAACCGATACCTTTGATTTTTTTAAAATACCGAACCAAAACCGAATTGATTGGTTCGATTAACTGATTTTTTGACTATTTTACTCACCCCTAACATGAATCATATTTCACCAATCCGTTATATTCAATGCCATACCCATTGTTGGGTGCTTAAATCATTTCTTATAGCCCATCCCCACGTCCATCTCCCTACCTCTTCTCGCACCTCAACCTATAAGGTCTCTTTTCTTAATATGTATTGTATATGGTCTTCTATGCATATTATTCATCTCTTCCATTTATTACCTTTTTGGAGCTATTCCTATACATTTTTTTTATTGTATGATTTCATTTCTAACATTTCTTTTTTAATTTTATCACTCCTCCAATTTTTAACTGCTCTCATATTTTTTCTGATATGCTCATTCTTCATTCTTTGGACGTGTTTTATCCAACACTTTTGTTGGCCTTATATATATCATAAATATAGATTCTACATGATACCAAGGGCCAATGGGCATAGCATAGCTTCTTTCTTCACAATCTCTAAGTGAAAATATAATGGTGCCAAGTGCCAATATCAGTAATTTTCCGGTTTAGATCATAGACCGGAATGGGTTTGTAGCAGTTCAATCGCCCTTGTAATTGTACTTGTACTTATCCGGTTTTCCCGGTCGTCCAATGAATTGCCGGGCTTACTCATTACTCGAACCCGATTTTAAGCTTTACGCTGGGTTAATGTTTTTCTCGACCAAACCGGCTTTTGGTGTCTCCCAAAGCATATGGCCGCGGTAAGCCTGTAAGTCTGGAGTAGATCTCCTTCCGGTGATTCAGCGAACGGATGTGGACGACCCACCAAGGAACGCTTTCTTCCTTTGAGCTGCGACAGATAAAAAGAAAGTTAAACCACAGCAAGGCCGTAAGATTGTGGTTGATTGGGGTGTTTGTGGTTAGCTTTGCTTAACTATTGCATTCGCATTTCACCGTGACAAGTTTGAAGAGCAGTGAGACGAGACAATGATCTCCTCAGCTAGAGTTTTGGGTGCATTTATTCATAAGTTCTCAAATGGGTTTTCCTTCAAATGCTCCACCTCCTTCCCTCTCCAAAGTAAGTTCTCCCATTCTCTCTTTACAGAACTTCTGGGGGCTTTGTCTAATTTGATGGAGGAATAACTTGGATTGATTTTCTGTGTTCCAGGAACTGGGTTGCTGGAGACCAACGTGTGTTGGTCATGGATTTCATATGAAGTGAAGCCTAACTATCCAGTGAGAAGGATATGGACATTTTCTCCCGTCTGTATGGGCAGGCGTTCTAGCAAGATTGCTGGAAGAAAGGTATGCCACCAGTTTAAACATATCACTTTCCATGCATGAACTCTTCTAGCTAACTGAAGGATGAAGAGCATAAAACTGGGTGTCTTTCTTAATATTATTCTTAATTGATTAAACCCATTAATGGCTGGTATACTCACATCAGGAACGGTTGGTGTGCGCGCATGAACGACCCTGCTTTTCTCCTAGGGGTTTTCCTATTATATATGCGTTTTGTACCACCCGGCATTGTTTTACTTATTAGACGCAGTAGTTGGATAGCGTGTTTTCATTTACCAGCAAGAAGAGGGTCTTCTATACCAGAGGATGCTTTGTGAAAAATTTGGAGAGCTACTGTTAACCTCTTCTTGCATAAAGGGAAGTATATTAAAGGAATTGAATGCTTGTTCTTGTTTATGCCTCTAAGAATGACCTAACTTTGTGCAGTGATCGATTGACCGAAGGAAAGACAATACAAATAAAAAGTTTTTTAGCTTGTCTTAATTGGCTATTCAATTTATCATACAGTTTAAAGAAATCTCACAACTCTGATGGGCACCCTCCCTGGTCCATCCTCCAACCCAAACATTATTACTTTCAAATGGATTTATTAATCTTCAATGGTGTTATCATTTTAATTTCATTTGTCAAAATTCTATGGTTCTGGAACCTATTCACAACTCACATAATTAAGACTTCATTATGAAGTTCATGGTTCCCTAAAACTGGAACTGACTGTTATTTTGTATTCTTTCAAATTACTCTTTCCATGAAGTGGAATTGCAAGTGGTCATAGTGTGCTGTGCATCATTAAGGTTGTTTTTTTTTTCTATAAATTTTCAGAAAATTAGTCACCCTAATTCTTTAAATTAGCTAAAATTAATTGGATACTAGAGTATAATTGATGTAGCTATATATTTGCAGTTTTCACTAGTTTTAAAAGAATAGGAGTTGAACCTATGAGTCTTTAAATTTAAAATACAGTTCAATTTGATTTTCATACTCAGTAATGTATGAAGCAAAATGCATTTTCCCTTTGTATTTAAAACAAAGAAAAGTTCTAGCAGAGAAAAAGGATGATGAGAAACAAAAGCAGCTTTCGGAGGAGGAAAGACCAAAAAGGATAGAGGCAAAGGAATAAAGAAGAAGAAGAGGAAGGAAGAGGGAAGGAGAGAGATGAGAAAAAAGGCTCCAAAAATCTGTAGCTGGCGGCGTCTAAGTTGCTATTTATACTTAGGGCGACTGCTTATAATAAAAAAAGAAAAGAAAATGACTGAAATACCTCTGCAGCAATATACTAACATATTACAACAACTTTCTTCCCAAACAAATATGTATTGTTGGCTCATCTTCATCAAAATGTGTTGCTTCCTAGATGTTTCTTTCTGTTACTTTTTTGGCAGGTGCTTGTAAATTTGTAAATCTGTATTGCTTTCTCATGTCTAATGCAGGAGGCTCAAGATGCAAAGAAGGCAAAACGTTATGGAAAAATTGGGAAGGAAATTGTATCTGCGTAAGTTGCTTTAACCACTAATGAAGTGAAAGCCTGAAACCACGGGGCAATGGCTCAGTCCATGTTAAATCAAGTTCTGACTTGTTGTGTTAATTTATTTTGGATAAACATCTACTATGTGTAGTGACTTTAACATAGTTATCGAGGCTATATGATGTAGGACCAGCTCAGTTATAGTCCTTGGAGAATGTTGAATGGTCTTTTTGGTCAGAGTTTTATTGATGTTGATGGTTGTAATGGCTTCTTGAAGGAATAAGAGAGAAAATAAGGAGAGAAAGAAGAGAGAAAATACCTGGAATCACTCACAGGGTGCCTAGAATCACTCTAGGGCATGGGAATCACTCACCATAGCTAGCATAAGCTGGAGAAAACTCAATATAATTCATTGCCTTTGTGTAAAACGTCCACACATATTTATAGACTCTAAACTCATAATAATCCTAGGAGTCAAACCGTTAGACTCACAGTAGTCTTAGGAGTCAAACTGTTAGACTCAATAATCCTAGTAGGACTCAAACTAAGCTGTCATGTCCTACTTCAATTCAAAGAAGACTTAATAACTCTAATCTTACTTATGCAATGACTCTAAAATTTTAAACATAAACAAACTATAACTAGACAAATTAAACCCTATCATTGGACCCTACAGAAAAATTATAAAATGGCAAAAATACCCTTGGTGTTTAATTCAGCCCAAATCCCAAGTACCACCACTATGCCATATCAGGACCTGTTGTAAGGCCTTATTCTTTCTAGAATAAGTTTTCAAGGGTGCTGATTGATTCTTATCATCCCTTCCTGGGTTGAAGGATCTGGGTTAAGACGATGAAAGTCTTTAGCAGTGATCCAAGAACTCTCAGACATAGGCTTGCCTTTCCACTTGACAAGGAATTTCTGATATCCTCTTTTAGTAGTAGGTATTATTTGCTCCTCTAAAGCATCCTTTGGAATGTCATTTGGAGTTGCAATAGTTGGTAATTTAGGTATAGGAGCCTTAAAGAATCCACATGTCCATGGTAAGGAGTCAAGTCCTCAACATTGAAGATAGGACTAATTCCCATGTCATTTGGCAACTCTAGAACATAGGTGTTAGAACTTATCTTCTTGATGATTTTGTAAGGACCGACACTCTTTGAGTAGAGCTTTTTGTACACACCTTTAGGAAGACGTTTTGGTCGTATACGTACCATAACCATGTCTCCCTCTTGATAATTTGCCAACCGTCGATGAATATCAGCTCTAGCCTTGTATAAATCATTGCTGAATGCAATTTTTCTCTTAACACCATAATGTATCTCTCTTATGTGCCTAACAAATGCTTCTACTTCAATGCTAGTACGTGTATCTAGTGGTAAGGTAACTAAGTCAATTGGTCACTTAGGCTGAATACATATACCAGTCATCACTTCAAATGGACTTCTTCTTGTGGATCTATTTACTGAGCTATTATAAGTAAATTCAACTATTGGAAGCACTAGATCCCATCTAGAAGTATGATCACTAACTAGACATCGTAAAAGATCTCCCAAGCTTCTATTTACTACTTCAATCTAACTACCTGTTTGGGGATGAAACTATGTAGAGAATTTCAGCTGAGTATTGAGTAGTTTCCAAAGTGTCTTCCAAAAATAGCTCATAAACTTGATGTCTCGATCTGATACAATAGTAGAAGGTACTCCATGAAGTCGAACAACTTCTTTGAAAAATATAGTAGCAATAGTGAAGTATCATATGTTTTGTTGCAAGGTAAGAAATGAGCCATCTTGGAGAAACAATCCACCACAACATAGATTGTATCATGACCCCTAGCAGTCTTGGGCAATCCAAGGACAAAATCCATGGATAGATCTTGCCATGGTTCATGAGGAATAGGTAGGGGTGTATATAACCCAGTGTTCTTCTTTCGTCCTTTGGCAAGTTGGCATGTCCTGCATTGCTTTATTATACGAGCAACATCATTCTTCAAACTAGGCCAATAAAACCTATCTTCCACCATAGCAACGATCTTATCTCTACCAAAATGACTTGCTACACCTCCAATATGTAACTCCCAAATAACAAAGTCCCATAAAGAGACATTTGATACACATAAGGGGGTATCATAAAACAAATAACCATTATGTAGTGAAAAGGAAGGATGCTCATCTTGCTTCCCAACTTGTAAGTCAGTATTGATGATGCTGAAATCCTTACAACCAGCATAGTCTTGCTTTAGTTGATCAAAAGCAATGACTTGGACATTCATGGAATGAAGTATGTAAGCCATTTGACTTAGCGCATCTGCCACTTTATTCTCATTTCCAGCTTGGTGCTTAAGAACAATGGTGTATTCTTATAGGAATAAAACCTACTTCCCATGCCTATAGTTTAATTTCTTTTGGGAATTCAAGTACTTTAAAGCTTCATGATCTGAATAGAGCACAAACTCCTTGAATATTAAGTAGTGTCACCAATGTCGTAGAACTTGCACTACTGCATATAACTCCTTGTTGTAAGTTGAATATTTCTGCTTGGCTTCATTTAGCTTCTCACTATGAAATGCAATGGGATGGCCTTCTTGCATGAGAACTCCTCCAATTCCTACACCGGATGCATCACTTGCCACTTCAAAGACTTTAGAGAAGTCTGGAAGTTGTAAAATAGGTGCCTCTGTCATTTTCTTCTTCATAGTCTCAAGTGCCTTTGTTGCTGCCTTGGCCCAATTAAATTCACCTATTTTCATTGCATCAGTAATTAGAGCCATGATAGTGCTGAACCCCTTAATAAATCTTCTATAAAAAGTTGCTAGGCCGTTGAAGCTTCTAACCTCTTGAAGATTGGTAGGGAGGGGCCATTCTAAGATAGACTTTACTTTCTTGGGATTAACGCTTATGCCTTCAGCAGAAACAACAAACCCCAAAAATATAACTTTGGGTGACATGAAAGAGCATTTCTTTAAGTTGATGTAGAGTTTCTCTTGGCGTAAAACTCTCATCACTTGACGTAGATGATCAATATGCTCTTCTAGACTATGGCTATATATAAGGATATCATCAAAATAAACAACTAGGAAATGACCAATCAAGGATCAAAGTACCTGGGTCATCATCCTTGTTTGCTGGAATACAGCAGCCGAAGAAGAAGAAGAAGAAGAAGAAGAGAAGAAGATTTGAGAAAGGCGGCCTACTCTCTTCAACCAGCCCTACAATCTTATATAGATGATTATAAAATAATATTACATGAATGGACTAGAATGCCCTTGATTAGTGATGGGACACCTAGACAAATAAAACAAATAAAACATTAAACAAGTTTAGGCCCAATAACTAAGAACTTAAGACACAAATATGACTAACATAAACACTAAAATAGCCGAACCAACACTCCCCCTCAAGCTAAGCATGGATGTCARTCATGTTTAGCTTGCCAAGTAAGTCTGAGAACTTTGTTGAAGCTAGTCCTTTAGTTAACACATCTGCAATCTGCATCTCGGAAGGGGTATAAGGAATGCAGAGTTCTCCTGAGACAATTCTTTCTCTAACGAAG